CAGACAGATTTTCCCTGACAGATTTAAAACTGTCAATTATCAGGAATTTTCATGGACAGCTAACTTTCTGTGATGTTCTTCACTTTCTTCTTTTATCCTGTAATTTTGACAAAAATAACAACAAAACACTTCACTCTAAAGCTATAACTTTTAATCCATTCAAATTGTACAGAGAATGAGGCGAGGGGAAAGGTGGTTACTGAGACATATAGGGTTAAAAAGTATGTGTGTATATACATATATATATATAGTATTGGTTAACTCATAACTGGGGCCATAGACTGGAGGATCTGTATATTTTACAGCAGTCCTTATAGAAACTTTTGCCTTGCTGCCAAATCAAACGATTTGTATGTCAGAAACAAAAGCTAACACAGAGTTGTATGGAACATAAAAGCCATCTCCTGCACCCTGGGAATACTGGAAAATACCTGAACCACACTTCTTTTGTTTTCAACTGCTACATAAGGAAAAATCTAAGCAAAATTACATAGGAACCAGGGAAGATTTTTATATTCCTTGGATATTTTGTGTGTATCAGGGAATGTTTTGTTTCTTATTCATGCTTTGCTTGTTTAACCTATAAAACAGTTTGGTATATAGTCATACAGGTAGTACATGCATGTCCCATCGTGTACCTTGCACAGGTAACAGTATCAATGTATACAATGTATATGTATGCAACACGTTATCACAGAATCCCAGAACAATTATGGTTTGAAGGGACCTTCTGAGACCATCTAGTCCAACCCTCCTGCACAAGCATGGTCACCTAGAGCAGTTGCTCACAGTTGCATCCAGATGTTTTGAATATCTCCAGAGAAGGAGACTTGGTTATCGCATATTCCCATACCTTAACATTGGACTGGATCTGGAAGTTTGCTTCTGATTGAGTGTTACGAGAGCTGAATTTATCTCGATTATTTCCTTCATTTACACTAGAGGTCACTGTGTGCAAAAGATTATGCTCACCTTTCAAAGGAAAAGAACACTAATACATTAATGTACAGGACAAAATTCATGGCACACTTTGCAATTTGAAATATTGATGTGAATTCATCTGGGCTAAATGTGTTGTTTGGCCATGATACTTACTACAACCTCATTTATTTACAATTTACAAATCCTAACATGAGAGAGGACCTACACCAGGAAATTCTCAGCGTTTAAAAACAGCCCATTTAATTTTAGACAAAACTTCATCTCTGGTAACATCAAATTCATTCAAGGTATACTTCCAGACTTTGTTTTTATTGTTGCTGGTTTTTAACATATAAGGATCTGAGCTTATATTCCTTTCTTCTACAGAAAACCAGCCAGGTTTCTCTAGGTTTTAACACAACAGAATAAAATGCAATTTGTTTCAGGCACAGTTTTAGGCTTTGCAGAGCTACATCCCATTTAGACTGTGGTTTAACGGTGGCACGAGCAGCTGTCTCATAGGAAAGCTGTGAAAAGAAGAGCCCAGAACGGTCGAGGAAGTGAAAGAGGAGTTTGCTCCCCTTTGCACCCACCTGAGGAGTTGCCTCTGAAGAGCTGCTGTGTTAAATACACAAGGCAGTGGACTTCTATAGCCTGGTTTTACAATACTTCTCACAGTATATGCCTGTGGTTAGAAAAGACAGTTGTAGACACGGAGAGAAAAGTGAACAGCTGATGCCATAAAACAGCATTCGTGAAAAGGCAAATATGGTCCCTTTGGTCCCTTTCCCTAGTGCTGTGCAAGCTTATGGGAGGACCACTGTTGCCGTTTTAAACAAAGCAAAGATCCCAGATTCAGAATTCCAGAATGGATGAGGCTGGAAGGGACCTCTAGAAATGGTCTACTGCAAGACTCAAGCAGGGGCTCCTACACCACGATAATGAATATAGCTTGCATGCTGCCATCCAAAGACTATCTGGCAAAAGGGGCAGAGGAACAGAGAGAGAGGTTAAGCAAGCAGGGGAAGATACTCACATTGCCCTAGGTACTTTTGCCATGCAAAGGAAAAAAAAATAGCCTATCCCAACCCTGGGGTGCTAGTGGTCTTTAACAGGCAGACCTGCGAAGAAGATTCTTCATCCCCAGTCTTGACAAACCTCCTTGAACCTAACTGCTTTTCTAAAAGAAATGCTTACAGCTTGAGGCTTACTTGCTGTCTGGAGAAAATAAAAAGGAAAAAAAAGTCTGGATTAGGTTGCTCCTTAGTGTCTTGGCTGCTCATGAGGCATGCTAGGCCTTTACTGCACTAATTTTATGCTGATGTAATTCCTCAGTCAATTAAAATATACTGTTAAAATGGGTGTAAGAGAGTAAACAACTAAGGCTATTATTTTGAAATGACAGCTGTTCCCTTAATTGGAAAGGTGGGGCAAAAAAGATCATTTTAAGACAACTTTAAGTACAGGTTATTTAACATCACTTACATTCTGTTTTCAAAATGTAGAGTTAATTCCCTTTTTGTCTTTTGTCTTCCTTTTGTCAAGGGATTATGCCTTCCTTCCATAGTATGTAATTACTGAAGATGCACATGACACTTCTATGAATTTTTCAGTCTTTCTCTCATAACGTGAGTAGTATCAGCATTTTTTTTATTAGGATTATCGTATTCCAGAAACATCCAGGTTAGTTACCTCAGATCTGTTTCTGATTCTAAAATAAAGAAATGGACTCCTATGCAAAGGTATCATGACAAGGGTAATCACTGGAGTGATTCACTCAGATCATTTCTCTTGGATTATCACTGCTTTATCTCTTCATTTTAGGAGCTCTTTGCATAGCTCCTTCTCTGGGCCGTCCAGAAGCTGCTTGTGTGCAAGCAGTGCTACAAATGGGATTGTATCTCAGCAATATGACAATAAATCAGTTTGCATTGATTGATTTAATAACAAGATGTGGCTCAGCATGACCCTGTGGCTGTTATTTAATTTTCTAAGAGACAGACCTTTTTAATAATTTCCATAATACATGCATGTAAATGCTGGAATACGAATTTTGCAATAGAACTTCAGTGAAAACTTTAGACTTTGCAGCACACACCAGTCACTGCAGCATTACAGAGGCTTTATACGAGTTAGTGGCTCATTAGATGTCCCTGCTCACTTGTATTTCTAGAACTCACTGACAAGTATATGACAGAGTAATTAATTTCAGCTTATAGCTGGGTACTGCCCATAAAAAATTCAGGCTATCATTCACACTGCATATTATCATATCTTGAGTAAACAATGGTTACAGAAATCAGCTAAAGACAACTAACACCATTCTGTAACCTTACAAAATGGTTCTTGACTATTTAATAAAGATAGAACAAGCTGAACTGCAAGCTTCTTCTATTGTGTTCTTACTGTATTTTTTAAATCATAGTACATAGATAAAATAACAAAGATTGTGATAATGCCCAATGCAAACTAATGGTTGTGGGAAAGGTGAGCCAAAGTGAAATCAGTGGGGCCGATAACAGAAGCTGCCCACTGTTTCAATCTGAGCCATTGCCAGTAACATTACATGTATTTGTATATAAGTAGGTGTCCATAAAACATGTCAGTCCCTTTAATGTAGTGCTCTTGCTGGCTTTTCCTAAATTAAGGATCTGATTTGAGTTCAGCAACAGCATCAGTCCAGTGTAGGGCTCATAAGCAATCACAGAATATATTTCACAGTTTTTCACGGTGAATTAGACCAGTATTTAGTGGGGGCAGTTTTCACCTTGAACGCAGGTCCTTCGGAAGGGCCTGTTCCCCTTGTGGCTGCACAGAAGCAGCATAGGGAGCTCTATGTCACCCGTTTGGGTCGGTTGCTTTTCCAGCTCCCGCTTGTTCCCTGTGCAAATCACACCACCAAGCACACTCATGAGCAGGTTACTGCAGGAAAAAGTGCTTTATCTCAGCTAAACCACACTGTGAGATCAAAGAAACAGCTGAACAGTAACATGAGACAGGCTTTTGAGGCCTCTGGTGAAACAGTTAGGTTTAGACTACAAAAAGCTCTTCAACACTTGTTTTATTCCACACTTTAATTTCATTTAAAGTATTATTTGTTATGACTTCCAAGGAAAAGACTAACAAAACCTTGGATGCTGAGGACCATGTTTCTATTTAGGGCTTATACAAAACACAGCGAAGTCAGTTTAGTCAGATCTGAGACTGTAAAAATCATATACTTCAGCTTCCCATGACGCGCTACAGACTTGCAACTTCTGAAAGATCATAAAAAAGTGATTAAATCACTCATCTGAGCAACTCCCAAGTTTAAATTTAATCTCCTCTTTGGAGCTTGTGGTTTTATTTAACTAGAAGCTATTCACTGTCCCATACAGAAACTAAATCCTTTTAGGTTGCTTTGTAGGTGGATCATAAATAAGAAACCACAGATTATTTCTGGACAGAGATTGCCACAAGAACAGCAGCAACCCTCTGGCATTAACTCCTGTCTCCCACACGCATCCAGGCACTTCCCCTGCACATCGCAGAGCCCTGACACTGGCAGCAGTTTTTATTTATCAATATTTATCGGTATTTAGCTTCCTTCCCTTCCTTTCGCCCCCTCTCTACATCCTGACATAGCTGCTCCAGGTCATATTGAGGCCTGCAGGTGGGAGGATGCATCTTGAGCCCCTCAGGCTATGACGTTCAGACCTGCCCCAAAAAAGGCCTTTCTGCGCCCAAACGGGGCAGCTTCGGGGCTAACGGGGTGGACGTAAGGAGCCCGTCTCCATTAGCGCTCCCTCAGCCCCAGCCTCCGCGGCCATCTTGGCGCGGGACCGCCCCGCTCCATGGCGGCCGCGCCGCCCCCTCGCCGGGCGCCGCGGGGCGGGAGGCGGTGGCAGGGGCCGGGCCGGGGCCGCCTCTGTAAGGGCGGCGAGCAGCGCAGGGCGGCCCCACTCCGCGCCCGGCCGCCTCCCCCAGCGCCGGGAAACTTGGCGCCGGGAGCCGCTGCCCGCGGAGCGCCGGGAGGGGCGGCCGCAGCACCGCCCGTCGCCGCGGCACCCCCGGCCCGCGCCCGCGGAGCAGCCCCCGCGCAGCCCCGCGCAGCGGTGAGTGCCTCGTGGCCGCGGGCGTCCCGGGCGGGCGGCTCCGCCAGCCGCGCAGCCCGCGGGACGCCCCGTTGCCCTGCCCTTCCTCTTCCCTTCTTTCCCTCTCTTTTCCTTTTATTTTTTCTCCTTTTTCTTTCTTTTCTCTCTTTTCTTTTAAACCCCGGGCAAATTCACCGCGAGGTTTTAGCGTGTGCCCGGCCGCGCGGACCCCCGCGGGCCCGTCCCGCCCCGGGAGCACCAAGGTCGAGTCTGGGACCGCCGCAGAGCAACTTTTGTTGTGTTTTGTGATCGCCTGCCGGCTAAAAATACCCCGCTGCTTTACTGGGAAAGTATTCTAACCGCTGCGTTTTTCCTAGGCCTGTTGCAAGGCTGAGTATTTGAGCTCTGTGGATTTATTTGTAACTTTTTATAGGATGTCAATGCAGAAATGCGTTTGTTTCCGCTGGAAAAGTTATCTGTGCTTTTTTGTTTGGCTTTGTTTTGTTTTCAAGCGAGTGAGGGGTGTAAATTTTAAGTCTGTGTGTCGCTCGTGGTGCTTTTAGCATCCTGTCGTCGTTTGTAGTGTCCTCTCTTTAAGCAGACTGCAAGTTTCGGCTAAACTTGGTATTTGGTTATTTTACTTTAGTCTAACTTTTTTTTTTTTTTTTTTTTTTTGAATGAGATCATCTCTAAGGTGGTGTTCTGAACTTACAGAATTAAAAAGCAAATTCTTTAGGCAGGTGTTTACTGCTGTGTTGTGGGGAGTGCGTAAGCTGAAGGTAAGGGCTGCTAGGCAGCTGGAGAAGGTCTGTGTGGGTGCCATGTGCCTGCCCCCCTGTGTGTGAAAGCAGAACTCTCTATCAGTGCTATTTCTTTAAATAAGTAAGTAAACTTTTAGAACTTTCTCTCTAAAAAGGGAGATTTTCTAATCTCTCCCTCCCTCCCTCAGTGGGATTTGTGTAAATTGTATTCCATAAAATCAGATAATATTTGAATAGCAAATAAAGTCAGAGGGTTTGTTTTAGGTAGGTGATTTCTATCTTTCTATTGCAAATAGTCTACACAAGAGCAAGCAGACCTGATGCGCCCACAAGGTCCCATCTTTCTTTCATTCATTTCCAGTGATGGAGTTACCCATCGTCTCCTTTTTTGCCTTCTCATCCTTCTTCCCCCTCCCCCCCCAGTCATTTAAGTGAGGTGGTGGCTGTAAAGCAGGCCCTTGATGCTGAATGAGCCTTGCTGTCAGTATTGACATGTCGATACCAATACCATTCTATAAAAGATAAGTGCTTGTCTTTTGCTCTTCTGCAGGTAAGCAGAAAGTTAGATTCAGAGGAGCTATGCACTATCTATATGTTTCATCCATGAGGTTTAGAATTTATCTGTACCTGGAAAGCTTTGCTTAGGTGTGAGAAAAATTACTATTAAATAATTCTATATATGATAAGTTATTTCATAATAGCTGTTCATGCTTGGAATTCTGCAAGAATTTATAAATACATTTTTGAAGCAGCTGCCAGCATTCTTATCCTTCTCTGGACTTTTTGTTCAACTGATCATATATACACATACACACACACACACACACACACACACATATACATTCAGGTGTGCATTCTTTTTTCCTTTGGTCTTACAAAGGAATGATTAATCTTTATTCTTTTCTTCCTTTGCAGCTAAAATGAATTCTGATCCCGATCCCCGCTCAAGTCCCTCTCACTCGCAGCTACATCTTGGGAGATCCCAACTGAATGCAGCCGCTGTGGACCGTGGTGAGAGCAGTCAGATGCCTGGATCAGCTTCAGGAGATGCTGCAACTTCCTCTGCAGTTCCTGGTTACTCCCATAGTAGAGAGAGAGCTGAAAAAAATGGTAAGTGTGAAAGCAGTTTTTATGCAAGATGTGCACTGAACATTAGGAGATTGACAGATACATACATATATATGTGTCTGTGCAAGAACGTATGCTTATGTATACATCTGTATATAGGGTGTTTTAAATCTCAAACTGTCAAACAGAAAAATAAATTTCTCTAATGTATCTTAACCTATTGTTGTAGAAGACAGACTGTGCTTATGCTGCTGCTTTTTTATTTTTGTGCGTGCTTTCCACTTTTTCTACTTCTTTTTTTCCTTGAGTGCACAGAGCAACTTGGATGTGATTTGTTTGTAAAACAGGCAGGAAAACATAAATATAATTTAGTATAGATTAGTTTTCAATTTAATTTCTTCAGTTGACTAGACCACATGCTAACTATAGCCTTAATATGAATTATAAGGAAGATGAACAGAACTGTCGTGCAGACTATAAGAGTAATAAGCTGATACATGAAACCAGAGCAACAGAAATATGGTTAAGATTAGCAGGCAAATAAGATGGATTAAGAATCACGATACAATTTCAAAGTCAGAATGGTACTTTGAAACTCAATAGGTTGACACTGGGGTGGGCAGGAGGAAAGATTAGAAGTAGTGATGGAGGGATAAGTGAAATGCCTCATGCTAGATAGAAAGCCAAGTAGAAAACAATGTCCTGGCTGAGTTACAGTTTTAAAATCAGTTGTATTCTAATATTTATGCAAGAACTCTTGCATTCCAAGTCTAGCAAGATTACTGCTCTTTAGCTTTCTTTAAAGCTTTAAAACTTAAAAACATAAATAAAAACAATTTAAAAATTTATTTTTTTTTATTCCAAAGGAGCATATGTGCAAACCCTTTAATTTGTGTGTATATCAGTTGCTGTAATGAAGGTAATAAATAAGAGTTTGAAATTACTAAATGTGTGAATCCAAGAATGTCTACCCGGGATGTATCAGATGCAGGTGAGCTCTGTACATGGGTCGGAGTGACTATGTTACCACATCCGTTATTTGCATCTAGTTTAAAGTTGGTTTTCGAACTTCATGGATTCTTGACACCAAAGAGCACATTCCGAACCAAGAAAATAACCTTTTGCATACCTGCACTTCTAACATGCCTCACAGTTTCATTACCAACTTTCTCATCTTGCCCACCAGTAAAATAATTCAAAGCTTTTGAAGAATTGACACTTGTGCTGTTAATTATATGATCCTTCATTTAGGATCAGAACTGACAGGTACCTTTTCTCTCTCTCTTTTAATTCTCCAGTTTCTCTGTATGTTTCGACAAAAAAGAAAATAGCAACAATAGTAGGAGTACAGCAAGGGAATGTCTTGGGTTTTGTTACAGTATCTTTTAAAAGAGGAAGGCGTAGGCTTCTTGTCTTGATACCTACATTGCAGCAAGATTATGAAAATGAATGCCAATATAGTGGTATGTTCAGTAGAGGTTGTCAAGTATTCTTATCCAGCTAACTTGGAAATTTCCTTATTCTTTATAAATATCTGACTTTGTGAAACATGATTTTGTCTAACTTCTGTCTCGTTATGGGCCTGTGAATGATTGAGCATTCCTGTGCTGTTACCTTTGCTGCAGGTAATTGTGTTAGGGCTCTTATAGAGGAGTATCAAGCACTGCTATATTTCTGTGTTTCAGTAGTGACTCATTCCTGATGACTTCAAATCTCTTTCCATAAAAATATTTTAAGTGCTTGATGTTGTTGTAATCACCCTTTTTATTCCTTTCTTAATATGTTTAAGTATTTAATGCTGCAGTGATCTTCTGTTGCCGTTGTTTTGTGTCAGAGTCTTACAGCCAGGATTTTACAGCATTTAGATAGCAAATGTGACAATGAGAAAGTGTTTATTCATCCAGTGTTTTCTTGTACTATCATTTTCCATAATACTAACAGTTTCTATAACTGAATTTTCATTTGAAAGAAGACAAGAGAGTTCTTCTACCCTTTACAGCCTCGCTCGTTAGAACTTACGGATTTAAGTGCTCCAGAAGAAGCCTTAGAAGTATAAATAAAAAAAGAGTGTTCTCTCAATCGGAGAATTCACAATTGCAAATTTGACTGTTTTTAAAATACTCTGATAAAGGAGAATCACTGGAAACCCTATCTATAGATAAAAGTTAAATTCCTGGTAGTGGCAGGAGCAATGAAGCATCTGATCCCTTAGCCATGGGGTGTACTTCTGGTTTTATGAAAGGACAAATACACTGTGCACAACCAAATCCCCGGGAAGGGTGTAGGTCTGACTCCTTCCTTGGACAATTAAGGAGTCGGCTACTTTGAGCAGTGTCACCATGTGTCACTGCTGTCCTCTGAGGAGTGAACCAGGAATGAGGCAGAAAGGGACTGGGAAAAACAGCAAATTGTTATAACCAAAAGATCAGTAGATAGTAAGGATGTAGAATGCCTTCTGCTCATGGTGACTTGTGTTTTGCACAACATCTGGAAGACTTAAATTTGTTAGAAATTTAAGCAAATAAATATGGTTTGGAGATAAGGAGATGTGTTGTGTTCGTGTTAAAACACTGTTGTGATATAGTTTTAGCTCAAGGTCTGCCTAGCTCATGTCTTTGGCATATTCTTGCTTTATTTCTGGTCTGTGCCTTTTTTCCTCCCAATTTTTTGCTCCTGTTTACTGGGTTTAAAGCTATAGTATCCATATTTCATCCATATTGTCAAACATCATCCATATCTTCCAGGATAATTCAGGAAAGGAACGAATGCTCTGGCACTCGTTCAGTGAAGTACTTAAGCCCTTATTAGCTGGATATTTATTTTATTTGGGTCAGATGCCAATCTTAAAGATTTTTTTTTTATTAGCACTTTCTGAGTTCACTTTCTGCTAATTTATCATGAGTCTTTGTTGTTGTTGTTATCCCTTATATAATTCCTTTCACAGTGGAAAGGAACAATACTTTAAGTATTTCATATGTTAATCAAATCTAGATTTGATGAAAGCACCAATATTTAGCTGGTAAGAAGATAATTTGTAGATCTTACTGTTTTGTGTGTGTGTGTATACATATATTTTTACTTTCAAAGCAGGAGTTTATTTTTACTTCTGACCAAAGCTGTTATGTTTTCTTGAAACCTTCTGCCTATGTAAGTTACAGAGTTTAGTGTATATATTAGGAATGTAATGAATAACAATTTGTTGACTTTTATGTATAAATCGGACTTGTTACCCTTTTGTGGATATGTTTGTGGATATGGACAGGAAGTTTATTAGTGAGAGAGTCCTACTAATCACAGCCTCTGAAAATTTAAAGCCAGTGAGTCATTGGCATTCATGTAAGGAAATCACAGGAGAATTGCCAGTTGCTTAAACAAAAAGGTTTTGCCATTAGTTGTCTGGGGCAACAGGAACATTGTCTAGAGCAAGAAAGATCAGTGTCTGCTTGAAGTCTGGTGAAGACTGAATTAAATTAAGATCCAAATCTCCCAAAAAAGCTTTTTCTGCCTCCAGGGTGCACAAGCCCCTCAAAACTTGCATCCATCTTCTACCTGCCCTGTCCGAACTTGCATCTTTTTGTTATCTGTATTTCATCAGCTTTGATGTGTGCGCTTCTTCCCTGGGATATACAGAGCTAAAGCAATACACAAAAAAATAGCTCAGAGCAGAGCCCTGGAGGCCACAAGACAGAATTCAGCAAATTGCCTTAAAAAACTCATTCTTGCAGGTGGAATCATTTCTAACTGCACAGTTAGAAAAGAGGACACCATCAGCAACATACTCACTTAGTTGAAAAGTTGGATTGGTTGTTTACAGCACCTTTCCTGCGCACTTGTTGACTAATCAGGTTGGAGAGGCTGAAGTGGGTAGGAATTCAAAAGTGAGAGTTTGGGTAGCTGCAAGAACACTGTGTGACTAAATTGTAGTGCTTTAAGATGCATTTTTTTTGTTGTTGTTGGTTTTTTTTTTCCTGTTAGAGGACTAATATTACGTTTCCTGCGTGCTTGCTTTTAGAGAATAGGGCACAAAAACTTCTTGCTCTGGAACCCAGAACCTATGTGGAAGGTATTTGTACTGAGAGCTTTGCCCACAGGAATCATTTTCTTCCTTTTTGTTTGTAGATGTGCAGAGTTTTGTTTTGTATTTAGGGAGGGTTTTTCAATCTCAGAAGAGGATTACTTTATGATTTGTACGACTTAAAATTTTTTATACTATTTATACATGCCATAAGCACTTTGCATGTTTCTAGCACATTGCTCAATGAGGGCTAATGAATAAGGGCTCTCCAACTTATAAATATATTCTGTCTTAGTCTCTTCCAGTTAAAGCTAGAAAGAATCTTTGCTTGAAGGTCCGTTTTAACACTTGTCTTTGGGTTCTGACAGCTTGCTTGTACAGAGTAATTCTTGAGGAAAAGTGAAATGCTGGGCAAAGCTTCAGGAAAATGCAGAGAAATCTTTGATTGTTAAAAGAGGAGGAATGTGCCTTGAAGTATTAATTGCTTAACAATTTATCTGTCAGTTTATTAATGTCCCTTCAAACTCTGCCTGTAATTACGAAGGCTCTTTGAAAGCTTATTTGCCTTTTCAAGCAAATTTCATTAATGTGGAAAAAAGATTCTATCCAAACAAAACTCAACGGCTGTGTATTCCTTAGTAACATTTTGGGGCACACTCACTCTACAGTCATGGGAATTTGCATGTTCAGGTCTGCTGCTATTTGGGCCAATAGTATTCTGGTGTTTTGCCTTCTGTGGGGCAAATTTTGTCCAAAAAATTGGGCACCCACTTATATAAGAAAATACTTCTCCTTCATGACTTTTTTCACCAATCAAAATATATGATTTTTTTTTTGTCTTTAGCTGAAAGCTGGGATTTGCACAATGCATTTCCTTTATCAGAAATGTCTTGTAACGCTGAAGCTGCAGAGGGAATATACTGGTGTTGGACACACACCTAGGCATTTCTTAGGGGTGAAAACTGTTTCCCTGTAGGTGAGTGAAGTTGTCCTGACCTTCATTCCTACCCAGTGGTCTGGGACTGCA